TTTACTAAAAGAGAATTATTTAATTAAATAGTAATAATATAAAATAAGGAATTTTTAGCCTACTTACTTATCTGGCCTACTTGCTTATTAACTACATTATATAATTTATAATAAAAAACTGTTTTTTTATAATAATACTAGTAGTATATAAATCCTAGTTATTTATAGCCTTTAGTCTAGGTAAATAATATATAAGTAATTATCCCTAGCTAGACTTGCTGCCTAATGCCTAATGCCTAATAGCTTATATACTAAGATAATAATAGACTTTCCTACTATATTAACTTCTTGCCTCTGTATTGTGGTACCTAACTCCGGGTCTGGAGTTGGATAGGGACTTTCTGAATTTGAGATTTAGAAGCATAGCGACGACTGTCAACACATGCGAACAGCAATAACCTCCCAATTTCTTTGAGTGTTATCTCAGAGAACAAGGGACACGAGACTTCAACTCAGGTTAGTATACTGTGAGGCGGGGTGCGCTTATGATACAGGATGCAGTAAGGGTCTCTCAAACCACGGGTTTGCTAGCTAGAACATTACCTCAAGGCAGTAGGTCGAGAATGCTAGTAAATATATTTTGAGGGTGTGTGTGAGTTTTCTTGCACGGCCCATAGGCTGTTATGGCTCTGTAGAAACTGTACTTGGGAATAAAATATAACTTATTGTTGGCAGTATTAACTATTGTTATAGAGACTATGATGCGAGGTAAGGCGCACGGTGTTCTGCAGCTCTTGACCAGCTTGAACTCTATATAACACTTCTCGACACACAGCTTAGGAAACTATGATGCGCTGACTTTTTTGTGTTTGGGCAAATGAAGAAGGCTCACAGTCCAAATATTGCCTTGTAGCGCGTCCCAGGTTATAAGTAGCTATCCTGAAAGATTGAGTATGACTTGCCTCTTATTAAGCGCTATGCTCAACAGTCCGCTCCTGGGGGCTCTTTTCAAGTTCTGCATCCTCCTTATTCCTCAGTCCCGTATCCTGAACAGCAAGAACCGAGTCTGAGAAGACGTATGATTTAAACTTTCGGGTGGGAGTTCCTTTATTAAAGAGATAGTCAAGCTGTTCCAGAGAGAATCCTTTCATTTCTGGTAGAAGAAAGAAAACCCAGGCGACAGTAACGAAGGAGAAACTCGCCCACAGGAAGCCCTGATCGCATCCATGAGTCAGTATATGTGCTCTTATCTTTAAGGGTACTTGACTTACAATCTTTCCGCCGAGGTTTCCATATTCAGGATCCTGAAGAAATGGTGAAACAGAGGAGGTAAGCAGGGCTATACCGAATCCAAAGAAGATGGACGTGGCAATGACTCTCTCACGATTACGAGTAGGTGCTGATTCGGCCGTAATGATCCAGACCAGTGGAGACTGAGCACCCAGGGAGCCCATCCAGATAAAGAGAAGGACGACCATAACCACCCCGGACGCCTTGTTTCCCTCAACCACCATCAATGCAGACATGATCACGAGAGATACACCGCAAATAAGAGAAGTACAGATAACCAAGACGCGGCGGCCAAACTTGTCGGGAAGGAAGTGACCAGTTAGTACTCCGACATAGTTGACGCAGAAAGCACTGATAACATATGGGAAGATGTCGGTGATACCAGCATAGCCAAGGAAGTAGCTGATATAGTTGAGGATGTATGTGACGCCTTGAGCCTGGGCGAGACACTGGATGCCAACGCCAATGAGAAGGCGGCGCAGGTCAGGGCCTCTCAGCATATCCTTCCATCCTGCTGATGCTTGTGCACGATCCTCTTGGACTGCTAGGTGTATCTTTTCTACATAGTCATCGGCGTCGAAAGAGTTCATGTTCGTGGCGAAAAGTCGTTTTGCGGCGGTGGCGGCGGCTTCGTTTCGACTGCCGCAACGTTAGTCACATTTGAACATGCTGCTGCATTGTATTGATAGTAAACATACCCCTTTGTAACCAACCATCTAGGACTCTCTGGAAGCATTGGTGCCATTATGATCAGCATGGTGGGCGCAAAAAGCTGGAGGCCAATCGGGATCAAGTAGCATGCGGCGGTCTGAAGTTGTGAGGTGCCGTAGACAACACCAGAAGCAGTGATTGCACCAACAAGCATAATATTCTGGTACATATTAATTGCAAAACCACGGGCAGCGGCTGTGGATGTCTCCGAGAGGTAGATAGGAACCACGTTGACTGCCATGCCCATTGCGAGAGCCGCGACAGTCTTTCCAACGACGAACTGGGAGTAACGGGGCGAACCGACGGCGCTGGTAAGTTCGATAACTATGCCGATGATGGAGATTGATGCAGTTGTCACGAGGGAGAGTCGCCGACCAATTGTTTCATTGACATAGGCAGCAAGAATACAGCCAAGCACTTCGAGTGTTAGCAAAGATAGAACATGGCAGGGGTTCATTGACAGCTTACTGATACCAACCGACTGTACGGCACTACCTGCTGAGACTTGGGGAGCAGTCAAGTGGCAGGTGTCTTTGCCATTGACTGTCTCGCAAGAGCCGTAATCGCGAAGAAAAGCATGCGTTCCGAGGATAGTTCCCCACCATCCATTGTCGAATCCCTGTTCCATCGTGATTAGCAACTCTGCTTCCATATAACTTGATTAGCCGGCAAGTAGGAACACGAGATCATCGTACATAAAGAAGTGCCCCGATTGAGGCGATGGCCATGCAGCCAAAGCCAGAAGGAGTGGTGCCTTCGAGGAATTTTGGAGCCATTGTCTGATCGGAGTAAGTATTAAACGCGGCAAGGTTGATAGCTGGGATACAAAATTTAAGGAGTGGAGAGAGAATGAGGATGACGATAAAGACAGAAGGACAGCTGATGATATATAATTGCTCAAACAGTGGCAAGACAGATCATGCCAATATGTATCGACGCCCGCAGAACCTCGAGCAGTCCATAAGAGCCTAGATGCATCAAGGGTGATAAGCCCGGGGTAATCCGGGGAAAATCTGGAGACTGCCCGACATATTGGTAAGAATATGAAGAACAAAGGCTAGACTGTGGTTCAGATGTACGCACGATGACTCGCTTAAACGAGATAGTGCCAGATCTAGCACTGTTCCATATTAGCGTCTACTACTCAGCTGATTCAGAGTACGGCGGCATTTGACGGACGGGCGGTCGACGGAGAGCCGACGGGTTCCGTCCGTCGGCCGTCCGTTCATGTCTCGTCAGACAGAGGCAAAACAGACTGGCAGACAATAGCCGGTCCATACACCATAAAAACAGGCGCTGTTTGAGTTGCAAGCTATCTTCTGTATCATTTTCAACGCCATCATTCACAACAGATCAATTTGTCTGGCAAGCTCTTATCTCAACAATGTCTTACACTTCTGGTACTATTGCCGAAGATCCGGCCTATGAGAATGTTCTCCCACCCAATTTCATAAACGGCTACTCGTGAGTCTTGTCTTCATTTCCAATACACCTGACCAGGACTTAATGGGACTCAGCTCTGCAGCCTATCAGATCGAAGGTGGTGCTGCTGAAGGAGGGCGTGGACCCTCTATCTGGGACAAGCATCTCCATGAAGCCAATAAGGATCACGGAGACGTCGCTTGTGACAGCTATCACCTGTGGCAACAGGACATTGACCTGCTGAAGCAATACAAGGCCAATGGCTATCGATTTTCCGTTTCATGGTCCCGTATCATCCCCAAAGGTCAGCCGGCTGCTCTCTGAGACATCACCTACACCATTAACATGCCTATTTTTAGGTGGAAGAAATGACCCAATCAATGAGGAGGGCATCAAGTACTACGACGATCTTGTACGCTCCTTTGCAGTCCTATACTGGTAACATTTTTCTGATAATTCTACTTCGCATCTAGATCAACGCTCTCCTTGCAGCCAACATCGAACCAACAATTACCCTCCTGCACTTCGATGTGCCCCTTGGTATTCACGAGCGCTACAACTCGTTCCTAGCGATGGATCCCCGCGAGTTAATTGCCGACTTTACCTTCTTCTCAAAGGTCTGCTTCGAGAGGTTCGGTGATCGCGTTAAGAAGTGGCTTACCTTTAATGAAGTGGGTTTTCCAGTATATGGCTCTACACTCTAGACCAAGCTGACTATATAGCCAGCCTTGGATTTTTCCTTCACTTCTGTCAATGGGCATGATCAAGGAATTTACCAAGAAGGACTTCTTCCGGTATGACTCTCTTGTGGTATCGCAGCACATGGACTAACAATGTCATCAAAGGGTCGGCCACAACACGCTTCTGTGCCACGCCGACATTGTTCAACTGTATAGATCCGAGTTCCAACAAAAGCAGAACGGCCTCATTAGTATCGCATTGGCAAGGCTCCTATTTGATCTTGTTGTACTTGCTGCTGACTATCCTCCTGTAGAATAGCGAGTGGGTTGAGCCTCTGAATGATACACCTGAAGCCATCCGAGAGGCCAAGCTCAGTATTGAGAGAACCTTTGGCTGGGTAAGCACTCTCCTTCTTTATCAAGTTTTATATTTGACGCGATTTGCTAATTAAAACCCAGTTTGCCGACCCTATCTGTATGATTCGCCTCATCCTGGTTCGGGTACTGATGCTCTGGCTAACACTCTCTTACAGTCCTTGGCACGCAGACCTCGTCCTGGTATCACTACGGGGAAGAATTCCCGCGACTCTCTGAGAGTGAACTTGCTTCGCTTAAGGGTTCAGCCGATTTGTATGTCCCTTACAGGCTGACTACCATACCGTCATAAAAATGGTTCAATGAAACATTACTAACGCTTGCCACTTCAGTTTGTCTCTCAACCACTATGGCACGACCTATGCTACTGGCCGCCCGGTTCAGCCCAATGGCGATCCTCGATTTAATATGGATGATGTTGATAAAGTTTGGGAGAAGGACGGCGTCAAGATTGGCAAGCGAGGAGAAGAAGGTCATCCTCATATTGGTGAGCTTCCCCCCTTTCACTTGTATTGAACCATTCATTTCAAGCAGGGTTGACTTGTTTTTCTTTGGCTTTAGTTCCCTGGGGCTTCCGAAAGCTTCTTGTGTATATCTGGGAGACCTATTGCAAGTCTCAGAATATCCCCATTGTGATATCCGAATGTGGATTCTCCGTCGAACACGAACAGCACATGTCGCTCGAGCAGATTGTCGATGACAAGGATCGTCAGGAGTACCTGAGTCTGTACATCAAAGCCCTCTGCGACGCCTCCAAAGAGAATGGAGTTCTGGTTACAGGATTCTATGCCTGGAGTCTCCTGGAGTTAGTCCCAGAATTCAACAATTATCCTTAGAAGAAAATACTAACCAGAAACCTAGTAATCTCGAGTGGCTATCTGGTTACGGACCAAGGTTTGGAGTTACGCATATTGATCGCGAGAACGGATGCAAGAGGACACCCAAAGATTCTACAAAGCTTTTAGCAGCCATCTGGAAGCACACCACTAAGGGAATGTAGAGAATATGCCCTGGAGTGTATACATTCGGTTAATTCAAGAAAATAAAGTGCCATTTTTAAAAGCGATGAAGCCTGAAAAGCGAATGAACACCACGCTAGCCTGACAAATAGCCCTCTGCAATTACAATTTCCATATTCGCTTTACCACCAGAGAACAAGGCCAAAGCGGGCTCGCCCTATAACATGTCTGCAAATAATGCATCCATTTGGCCTTGATCTTGTGGGGGGCCGAATGCCCCATAGGATTCTCTATCACCCCATTCCGGAACAAAGAAACTGGATTCCGCAATATTGAATCCCATATCTGCTGGCTCGACCGCTGGAGGGCATGCAAATATCGCAGGGGCAGAATGCTCTCCGCTCTGGGGATTACTTGCCGGTTCGTTATCCTGGTAGGAAGTACGATCAGAATAGTCAGCGGATGGGCCCTGTAAACTACCAGAAGCACCGATGTTTGGGTTGGCATTGGGCATTCGAATAGCATTGAGTATATCGTCGCGCGTGATCTGTATCTTTTTGTGCGAGCCCGCAAGAGAATCTTGCTCCATGGTGCAGATATGCCGGATAAGGCGAGCACCACGCGCCGCGATCCCTGATCTGTCAGCGGAGGTGTTGAGTAAATCGACCAATGTTAGCAATCTCCTACGCCGGGCTGCCGCGTCTGGATAAGACTTGTTCTCGCTGGCCGCATGGGCGAGATCAACACCTAGTACAAGACCAGCTGCTACTAGCCAGAGTGTTGTGTTCCAAAGGCGGTAAAAGAAGGACGGCAGTCCTTTGTCAGCCAAACTGATGATAGTCTCTGAAGCTCTTGTGCAGGCTATTCGAGAAGCTTCATAGCGAGGATCCGACAGTGACTTGATATAGAATGATCGGTGAATCATATATGATCGATAGGCCAGCATCATTACCAGGAACCGCCACACATAAACTGGGCCAGATGTGCTGGGACTGGATTCAGCTGAATGTCGTACTGCCGCTGGCAGACCTTGGACTATCCGATCTAATTTCTCCGAGGCAGAGGTGACAGTCTCATAGTTTGGATATTGGGTCGATGATAGTGGGCTGTAGACTTCATAAAGAACTCTCGCAGACTGGCAACAGGTGATGAGAAAAGTAAGAGAGTGAGCATCGTTGGTAGAAGAGGCGAAGGTTCCTTCATCAGTGAGATCAGGAAGAGCAGTATTGAAGGATTGTGCCGAGATAACTAAGAAGAGCACCAAGGCACAAATTGTCAGCATATCACCACCAAAAGCTCTCTGTAGGCAGTCTCGCAACTCACAGCAATAGCGATGGTACGGTAAAAGATCCCAGTCACCCTCAATCAGTAGCCACCAAGCCCGGCGACCCATTTCTCGCCTTATTCGGTCATCTTCAGAGCTGCTGTGGCTATTTCCGAGTAGGTGGAGGTTCATTGCCCTCGCAATCCCAATGCCAACGTATGCAAGTAGCTGATGTGTATTTGAGTTTCCGGTCAGGTGAAAACAATATCGCAAAGTCAGAATTGTCTGGCATGCTGCAAGAGAGTGGTGAGTTATTCCACCGCAGCGGAAGAAGGTAGCGATACTACAGTCAAACCACTTTCTGGCAAAATGCTGAAGCCGCTGAGGGGCGTAACCCTGAGTCCTGGCGACCTGCTCGTCGAGAAAGAATGCAGCGTTACTGAGAACGGCAAACAGGAGTGCCAAGGTCATTCCGTCGGGAGGTTGTCCCTTCTCGTAGAGAGTCCAGAAATCATTGTGCTGTTGCTGGAGCGTGTCGCGGCGCAGGCAGCCCGTGATCCAGTTGACGTTTTCGAAGTACGACTGTAGGAGGAAATTTGATTGGCTTGGCTCTGGGAGGGTTGCTAGGCATGAAGAGAAGGACGTTGGGCTGAACCACTGGTGATTTGACTCTGGCAACTGGGTGCTGTCGACAACCAGTGAAGCACCCTGCCATCGTCTGTTTTCGCCAATCCCAAGTGCCGCCTCCTCCATTGCGCTCACCAATCCATTTTCTTTAACCTCGCGTCCATCATCGCTAACTGTAGATGAGTCTTGTCCTTGTTGCAGGCCAAGTACTGACTCGACTGTATCAAGCCGTTCAAGCACCCTGTCGAGCTTTTCTAATACCTCATGTTGCAGAACGTTTTCGCGTCCTGGCTCTTTGCGGACTGGTCTGTTTCTACTGCCAGGGCCCTGCTGACGGCGACAGCTAGAAGCGTCGCCTCTCTCGTAGCACGCACGACAGGGTATCTTTTTATCGCATCTTATCTTCCGTCGACTGCATTCTTCGCAACTCAATCGAAGGCGCGGTACCAAGTTTTCATTCGGCGAGCTTCTGTCGCCTTGCGAGAACCCATGCGTTGGAGATTGTTGGGGATAGGCCATGATCTGCCGAGCTCTGACAATTTTGTAGTCTTGTGCAAGTGAGTTAGTAATGAAGCATTAAAGATGTAGATTGGGAAAATCGCGTCATGCTGGAACCTTGTGTTTTTTGTGGCTGAAGAGTTCAGGTTCCACTCCTCTCTGCTTTATGATTGGATAGCTGAAAGATGGCGCAGTAGTGTTTATCTGTATGGCTTACGTACATGATAAGCGAGTGAAACAGACAAGCGAGCGGAACACTTTTCTTCAGCTATCAAAATAGAAATTACCAGAAAAACACAACAGACCATCTGATCAATTGAATTCAATTACTATATTCATCACCAGATGTCTACGGAGCTATCTGACAGGTCCTTGCATTATGCCCGGTCTTGCCGCATTGATCGCTTGAATGACGATAATCCATTCACGGCTTCCAGGTTGCACTGATTTTGGCCTTCTGCGCCTCTCTGCACCTGTGACGACCATTCCGCTTGTAATCATACCCATCATTAAGCCAGTCTGTCGCAGGGTAGGCATTAGTAATCTAGCTATATGCTTTAAGTAACGGAATACCCCGCACAACAGAGAACTTAAGACAACAATTAACATATTTACTACTGCTTATTATATTCACTCTAACCCTTTAAGCACGCTTAGTGCAGTACAGTCTTATTAAAGTTATAGATATTACCTAATTAAATACTATACTTAGCAATTGTATTTTCTATAAGCCTAAACTAGTTATAAATAATCCTTAGATTTTTATATTTAGCTTTTTAATAGTTATATATATAGAGAAAATTACTATTTTAATTAAATAGTATAAATACTACCTCTTAGTAGCTATATTAGGTTCTTTCCTTTATCTTACCTAAAGGATCTTTAATTAAATTTTATAATATACTTTAGTTAGTATATTTATTATAAAGTATATTCTTTA